ATAGGGAATTCTTAATTGATTATCTGAATGAATGCTTAGAAGTTTACTTTCACTTTTTGTAGGTATTTAAATTATGCAATAAATATGTTTAGAATCCGATCTCCTTAACGTTTTACGTATAAAATGTATATAGTGGTTTATCTTTTGGAAGTTAAGGCTGTCTTCGTCATGACATTGAGATACGACCTAAAAATCTGCTACCTTCTTCATAAATAAAAATTTACCGATATTTATATAAGCTTATACTAAAACGAACACTAATACGGAGTTCGTATTAGTGTTTGCGGATAACTCAGCCAGAACACTTATTAAACTCAATTTTTATTCAATCCTATATCTTAACATAACTAATATCTATTTGGCTAGCGCTTAACGAGATCGAAACAATTATAGAACCCTAAACAACAATAATAGTTTCATTTAATTGGCATTGGAATCCTTGAATCATGCCCAAGTGATTTCCAGTCTCATCTAAATCCACGAGTTTTCATCTAACTGGACAATTCAAACATTTAGACTCAACCTCTCGCTTACAATTACAATCACAATATCCCCCCTCCTTGATCTCACTTCAGAATTAAATAGTAAACTTTATATATATATATATATATATATTTGTTTGCATCTCTATCGCGGTTCCGTTATAAAAGGCCAGTTTCCCTACTCAAACAATGCATATAATAAATTTCTCTAGAGGTTAGTCTTGGGAACGTGCGCTAAAACATAAACGTTCTAAAAGTTTTATAATATTCTATAAATGTCAATTTCATATTTTTTAAAATATTCCTTTGTCATTCAGTTATTAGAGACGCACATTGTGCATAGGAAAACATATTTCTAACTTTTAATTGATTGTATATTAAACTATGCTTTTTTGTTATTGGATCTAAAATATTAATCATCTTTATATCTAAAGGGGGGGGGGTGAGAGAGTGAGGGTGGTATTATTTAAACACTAAGCGAAGACGATTTGAAATGCCCCTCCCCCCCCCCCAGCCTTTTCGTATAATTATTCAAATCTTAATCTCACACAGGAATCTTTAAAATACAATTTGTTGGATTTGAACAAGTTTTAACTTTCGGTTGTCCATCCCTATTTTAACCAATAAAAATAGTTTTGGAGAGATGATATTTTTTATCCCGGAGTTATATATTGATAGCAGAAGCTGTGTATCAATTTATGCAAGGAGATAGCATTTTTAAATGTTAAATAGAAGTGTTATATAGTTAGAAAAACCAAACCACGTGCTTCTTGTTCCTAAAAGTACTCAAGGATTGTTTAGAACTTTTATATCTTTACTACCTGACCCGGCCCGGCGTTGCACGGGCTTTACCGAGGGTATAACTTAATCCCCATGTTAATTTCCCGTTTTCTTTCTGACGCCAGCACTTTTGTGTGGGTGTGACGCGTACGATGTGAGTGTATGGCCCGTGAGTGCGTGTCATGGGCTTTCTCGTTTAACATTTTCCCTTCTCTTCATAAAATCAGCACTTCCAACATTATTTCTCGAAATTACTTTGACTTCTTTGTTTATTTCCTCTCTGCTTAGCCCGGCGTTGCACGGGCTTTTACCAGTGAATAACTTATAATCCCCATGGGAATTTCCTGTTTCCCTCAGGACGATAGCACTTATGTTTGTATGCGCGATGTGAGTGATTTCTTTAACAATGACATTAAAACTCCCTTTTTTGAAATTTGTTCTTGCGTTGGTGTGGTGTGGTTCTTAGGAGAGGTAGGTAAAAGCTTAGGTGTCGTCCTCGTCACTTGACCATGGTTGAAAATTTCGAGGTCCGTTGCTAAAAACCCGCGAACAGTGCGAATTTATAAATCACTCACTCGCTTTTCAATTCTTTCGTTGCAATTTTTTAGTCCCCGGAAACGAAAATGTAGCCTTTTTAAAAATAGTTGTATGTTGAAAAAAGACAGAAAAGTAGAAATTTTTCAAATTACAAAATTTTACTACTATTTTAAATCTTGAAGTAAAATTGTGAAGATATTTTGAAATGTTCGACACACGCGAAAAAAAGTTTAATGCAATTATCTTTATAAAAGAAGAAATTATTAAATGATTGTTTTAAGTATTTTGAGTGTTTTGTTAAAATTTGTTCAAAAAAGTTTTTGGCTTTTTATTTTTTAAATCACTAATTCTAAAAGTTTTAAAAATCATTTTTATTTAAGCGCAATGATTTTGATTCATTTTAGAAAAAAATCATAAAAATATGCAAAATATCATTGTTTTGTAAAAAAAAAAAAAAATTTGTTTTTAAATTCTTTAAAAAAAAAAGATAGTTTTCGGCATTTTATTTTATTAATCACTGATTCTAAATGATGAATGAACTTTTTAAAAATTCATTTTCATTTAAATTCATCTATATTTATTCATTTTAGAAGAAATCATAAAATACAAAACAAAATTAATTATTTTATACTAATATTGATTAAAAATATTCATTTAGCAATTAATTGTGACATGCCAATTTAGTGATTTTTGATATATTAATAACACGCAATTAATAATGAAGAATTTTTTATTTGAACATAGCTTTTATTTTTTTCTAAGGAAGTTATGCTTATTTAACTGAATAATTCAAAAACAAAAATTTCGAAATGGGCAAATTTTGCGTTTTTATTATGAAATTATAAGTCAAAAAAAGATTTATACATTAGGCATTATTTTAAAGTAAACTATAAGTTTTATGAAAGAGAACAAAAATTTTGATACTGATAAATATTTTAAATGAGTCTCAGAAATGTATTGAATACATTTTGTCATCTTAATCTAACATCTATAATGATTTAATTTTGAAAATTATCTAAAGAAAAAATGACGAAAATTGAAGCAAAAATAACTTTTTCACTCGCATTTTTTTTTACTCGCCAAATTTACTGATTTCCCCCTGTTTAAGGCAGAACTTTTTAGTGTAACCCTTGAGTTAGATGCGATCGACGGTTAAACAGTTAGTTCAAAGGTCTTTGGCGCAAAACTATTTTTCGACTCCAAGGTTTGGCTAACTGTAAAATCGCGTATTTTTTATTATTTTTTTTTTATTTTTAGCGCATAATTTTTAAGTTAATGCTTTCAAACTTCACAAATTAATTGCAAAAATAAAGTACTTTTAAATAAAAAAAAATTACAAAAAATACTGTTTAAATTATTTTTCGCAAAAACTGTTTTTTACGAAAATCGCAACAAAAAAAAATTTTAAATCCGTAATTTTTAAGCAATTTTTTCATATTTCGTACAGATTACGGTTAATATTCTTTTACACACGAAAATAAAGTTTCGTGCGATTATCTTCATAAATGACAAAGTTATTCAATGTTAAGTTGAGTTTTTTGAAAAATCTTTTTTTAAAAAGTTTTGGGGATTTTATTTTTTAAATGACTGGATCTAAAAGAGAAAGGCTTGAAGTTATTTAGTGTAGAATATCGTTTTAATAACATGAAAACAAATTCATACGCAACAATTTAGAAATAATTTGCATAAAAACGCATCAGTTTTAACTCTTAAAAAAAATTCTTAAAAAAATAGAAAATAACATTATTTTGCAAAAAAAAAAAAATTATACCGTATTGTGGCGAAATAAATGATCTTTCCGATTCTGTAATTATTTTTTGCCTGATTTCAACAGTAAAAATTGGATGGCAATTTTAAGATGGAGGAAAACGTCGGATCACCGCTCGGCCGAAACGGAATGGAAGTTCTGCCAAGTAAGCAACCCGCAGGAGTAAAACAATTAGGCGTTTTAATGTTTTTAATTAATATCTTTTTAAATAATTGCAATATCGGAATGAAAAATAGTTTACGTCTTATTCTCAGACCTACTGAATATACGCACAAAATTTCGTAAAATTTGGTCTTGTCGTTTCGGAGGAGTTCGGCTACAAACACTGTGACACGAGAATTTTATATATTAGATATATTTAGCCGTTATTTATTTTTGTGTAATGCAGGGGTGGCCAACGGCACGCGGGTCACAGTGTAGCTTATACTAAGTACAATTTCAAAAGCTACATTAAGTACTGACGGTTTAATAATTATTTGGAATAAAATGTTTTAAACTAATTTTTATTTTATGCCTAACTTGACTTATTGAACCTGTAAGAAGTTTATTAACAATGGAACCTAAGCAATATTTTCGTCTTTTTTATTATATTTTTAAATTACCACTACATAGACGCGTTAAAAATGTGCTATTTGCGTGAAAAGCCCATAATAAGGTAATAAGTAGCAATTTTTTCGCCTTTTTTTTGTTTAATATTTGGAAAAATTGAAAGTGGCACTCTTCCCGAAAAGGTTGGCCATCCCTGGTGTGTAATGTATACTATAAATTATTTTCATTCAACTTTTTTTACAATAAATAGGTGAAGGCTCATAGAAAATATAACAGTAAGAAGTCAGCTTTGATTTAGAAAATAATTTGAAAAGGAAAGTAAAATAGGACAGGAAAAGTAAATAGAAAAATTATTTAATCTAGGGTGCACCAAAAGTCCCTCGTACATTTTGAAATTTAATATAATATGAAATTATATATATACCAAAAAAGTATGGTTCGAGTTTAGAAAAGTTTTTGCAAATATAAAATTCACAATCAAAATTGCAGCACATACATTTTGTAGAAGTGTTAATGCAGATACGCACGCATATCATTTATATGTGCAACCGTATTTCACAATGTGTGCGCCCATTGTGATTCGAATAACATCTAAGTGGAATAGATTGGATGAGTGATTCTCATATCTGCTTTTTTTTTTCAATTCCTACTCTTTCCCTATATATTTGTATCTATACATCTTGTTCAAATTTTCAATCGTTAATAAAATACTTTCTATCCATCCATTCAAGTTCAAATTCATTTTTTTAAACTTGTAGTGGATGACACTTGATGTTAATACAGTTTTTTTTTCAAATATCAATTCATTAATTAAATTTAAAAATGAATAAATAGTAACTAACAAAAATAATTGTCCAATTGATAGGAAAATCGTTCGTTGTGTGGATGTAGCGCAATGGATAGCGCGTTGGACTTCTAATCCAAAGGTCGGGTTCGAATCCCTCCTGGGATGGAATAGTTTCTTAGAATGTGATTTCTTTTTTACTATACTATTTTATTAGAATAATTAAATTTAGTGAAGGAATAAATAGTAACAAACACACAAACAAAAATAGTCCAACACCATATATAGAAAGGAAAATGGAAAATCGATTTCCATTTTGTCTCTTAATATTGTGGTTCTGTCATGTGTATATACATATTTATATTAATTGTAACTATTTAATAAAAATTATATATTTTTTTTTCTTGTTTTTCCTTTACACGATATAGTACCATCTATAGGGGAAATCCAAAGATATTTTTTTATTTACAAAAAACTTTCATCGAGAGGAAGCATTTTAAGCTCGAAGCACACTCTCGCAAGCCAATTATTTGATTTTATATAAATTTTTTAAATTGGCCCGAAACTTTTTGTCAACCTTGTATTTTAGACAGAATTATATGCGTCTCATTTGATGTTTTCCAAAGTACTCCACGAATTGTAAGCCTTTGAACCGAATTTGAACTTTCATTGCAATTGATTTAAATGCAAGCTTTTGATTTGATGCCGTTGATTAAATTCGAGAAAAAGCCAGAGATGGAGATAGTACAAATGTTTATAGTACAGAAATATTTGCAATTAATTTTAAGTGATAAGCGAGTATAAATGTAAATCACACCTTTGAAGAGTTGTTGCGTTTTAAATCTAAATAGCGTTTACTTCGTTATTTTTATCTAAATAGCGTTTTTTGTGGGTTTTTTTACAAAGATTTTGCGTCCGTCCGATCCGTTTCCTGTTTACAGTCAGAATGCCCCTGGTGCGGCGGTGTAACGTTACAGTTAGGGTTGGAAGTGCGGGAAAGTATGTCGCGCTCAGTCACAGGAGGAGTGCAGGAAACACCCAGAATTTTTTTTATATAATTTTATCTATGGAGCACTTTTACTCGTCATTTAAGAATTTAATAATTTCAATATATTTAAATATATACAGTCGCCTCTTGATAATTCGGAGGAACCAATGAAAAATTTTGAATTATCAAAGATGGTAGAAAACTCCCAAAATACACAGAGAAACTTTTTTCTAACTCATTTAAATTTGAAACTATGTAAAAAAAACAACAATTGTACATATGTATAAAATTATTTTAAAGTATTTTTAAAAAGTACATATTATACAGTATAAATATTATACACAAGTTAAAAGTCCTATATTAAAAGAATACATGCATACACAATCCTATGCATCTCTTCTTCACAATAGCGGACCATCCTTTCTGAACACATGAATAGCAAGGCCACGTGTGAAAGCGAAAGATATGGACGGCTAATAACAGGTGCGGTTGGTCTATTGTCCACTTAAAGAAGGAAAGCAATAAAACTGTCTTTTCGCCTGAGGAACCAGAAAACACAAAGAAGGGGTTGCAGACAAGATGGTCATCAAAGGGGCTACGTTACAGGGGAGACATGCAGAGACAATATAATGCAAAACTTGTAAGTTCCAACCTGTTTGCTATAGGACTGTACATGATAGTGAGTGCTCGAATTGTGGAGAGTTTTATAATATAACTTCGAATTATCGCGTGTTGTAGAATGGCCAGCCACGGATTTTACTTCAAAATATTGAGTGTACCAAAACGTATTGTTTTGGTTCGAAATATCAAGCTTTTCTAGGGACTGAGCATATACTTCGAATTATCGAGAGTCGACTGTATATATAGATTTTTTAAATTATCATTTGAATTTTTTATCTTTATGTCCTAAAATGAAGCGTATGGAATTTATTATTAAAAAGGCTCTATTAGGGTTTGAACAAATGTTTTGATATTAATAGATTTGTTTTCTTCTCTGCTTCTGCGATCGGAGAGTAAAACACAGTGAAACGAGTTCATGCCATGAGTTCTGTTCTCGATTTTATTAAAACTGTTTTTATGCAATATTAAAGAATAGAATCGAAATTCGACACTTTTTCAGATAAAATTGTTGAATTTTAAAACATTTTTTTAACTCTGTCTCGTAGAAAGCATCATATTTTATGGTGCTGCTCATTTTTATCTGTATGGATCAATTTTTTCTGGAGTAAAACGGGCTCCATGTTTAGTCTCCTTTACTACAATACTCGTACTAAATTAAAACACGTGTTGTGTAATGAACATATGCATATTTTATACAACATCATGAAATTTGAGACATCTTTCTGTGTAAAAATGTGTTCCGAATTAAGCTTTTTGGCATTAAACAAAATTAGCTGTCATTTGGAATAATCAAAGCTGCTGCACGTTTAATCTCTGAAAATATTTTTGTGATTTGCTATGGTAACTTTAAGAATGATTAGACTGTTCAGTTATCATCGTCGTCAAGTCATCAAAAATTCTTTCTCCATATATCATAGCTCATTATGCTCTTCTAGAATGATTCAAGCTCGACTAAAGTAAAATTGTTTGTTTTCCTGAGTCTTCGTGTTTTTTATTTTGTGTTTACCGATTTATTTGACACACAACCAATTCTGTATTCAGCATACCAATATTGTAATGTTTCTCTATTCACTAAGGTGTGTATATATTCTTTGTTTTCTTAGAAATATCTACATTGTTATTCTGCACTGTTTCTTTTTCGCTGGATCAAATGACATTAAACTTGGATTCATGTGTATTAAACTTTTCAATAAATGATGCTTGATTTCAAATAAAATTGTTTTACAATAAAATTCTATTATTCAAGTTTGGGTCGTTTTTCCTTGTGATTATTGTTGGTTTCTACGTGGGTTTTTATAGCTTTTCGATAGTAACACCTATTTTTAACAAGATTACTTCCAAACGGAGCAAAAACTGTACCAGAGATAGGTCTTGAATACTTTCTAGATTCTGATGCATGTTTGGATATTTTTGTTTGAGTATTTCTCATCATTTTTGTTTAAAGTCTTGTTTCTGTTATCATACGTTCTTTCCTTTAATTATAGATATCTTTTTTTTTTTCTTTACGTTTTGATAAAGAAAAAGGTATACATTTCTTAAAAATAAAGTTAAATAATCCGATTCCTGTTTTTTTTTTCCCTCACAGGGCAACATATTTTTTTTCTAGAAATTTTATGCTTTGGTTTATTATATTTGCCGGAAACTAAAAGTAACTTTCGACTCTATATGCGAATCTCTTTTTCATAAGGAATCTGTAGGGAAAAAACCTTTTGAAAACGCTCATTTTTCTCAATTGTCAAAAAATAGCTATTTTAATCGAACTAGTGCACGCAGCATCTGCTTCCCTCGAACTTAACTTAACGAAGCAGCTGCCAAGATATACCGAACATTTAACAGCTGCTCTTGGAGATCCTCTTCCTAGTTGAATTTTATATAATTCAGATCTGAAAAAGTATTGATTTTTTTTCATCTGCAATTTTTTGTAACCAGCATTTTACTTCTTGAATTTCGTTGTTGGAGTTTAATATTGATTAGCTGATCCACGCAATATAAGTTATATTTAAGTCTTTAGAGAATATATATATATATATATATAAATTCATTTTGTTACAATCTAATTTAATCTGAAAAATAGCAGTTTATTTTTTAGTTAAACGCAGATGTAATCTCTATTATAATTAGCTAAAGTAAACTTTTTTGTTGTTTATTCTGATTATTCATTTCTTTTTAACTGGACACTCATAAAACTGCCTCTATTTTACTATTCTAACTTAGCCCTCTTGTGTAAATATTAATATACGTACAAATCTTATGATCAAAGGTAAAGTGGGCGAATATATTTTGATAACTCATATGGCTTAAATTATACGATACTAATCTTTCAAGTTTTTTTTTTTCTTATTATTATTATTATTCTCCTTGGTTAGTTTATATAAACGCGATCGATTCTTTGCAAAAGCAACCAATTGATCTTGTGTGTTCAAATATCTTAAACTATTATCATTTAATAAATAACCTCAACAGTACTTTAAATGCTTAAGGTACCCAACGCTATTTATGAATATCCTACAAAATGGATCAAGCCTCCCTTCCAAATCTAATAACTCTAATGTTAAAATAAGCCGATATATTTGAAATCAAACCATTCTCAAGATGAAATGAAATACTCTGAAACATTTTCCCCCAAAATGAAATTACACTGTTCTGTACTCTTTTGTCTCTTTTTATCTATTTCGAAGGAAATGAAAATGTTTGACTATAGGAATAAGCGTTTCATGAGTTTCTTCCGATGAAGAAATGAAATATCATCCTGTAATTTTTAATGCAATAAGGTAACTTTAAGAAATTGTCTTAGCTTCATAAAGATTCGCGAATAAAAGCTTTCGTAAATTTGACCGTAATAACATCTATTATATTGTTCATTGCTTAGCTTTTTGCAATTCTAGGATATTTCATAATTATATACAAAAAAACTAGATCTCAAATGAACTGTCTCTAATTATCGTATGTTTTTGATGGTTTTTTTTCCTACATGTCCTCTTTTGTATTGTGCTAGCAAACATTTTTCATACCATGTTTTTTATTTAACTTTTTATATTATTATACGCTTAATAATTTTAAAATTATAAGAATATGTTGCACTAGATCAGGGGTGGCCAACCCACAGCACACGTGCCATAGTGTGACACGGCGAAGTTGTAACAGTGGCACGCAAAGATTAATTGAAAGATTTTAAAAATTAATAATATAAATAAAAAAAAATTTACAATTTTATTGTAATACGGTTATTTTAGACAAAAGTAAATGAATAAAACCCTCAAAAATTATTTTGTAAATACATTTAATTGATTTACAATAGAGAAAATGGGCCGTGGGTAGCTTAGTGGTTAGAGCATCGATCTCCAGACCGGAAGGCCTGGGTTCGATGCTCGATGCAGTGGCCAAGTGGTCTAGGCATCGGATCATGGCTAGCGTGTCATGAGTTCGATCCCAGTACCACTAAAGATCCGCCGTGTAGGGGCGCGATGCACGTTAAATCTGTCGAGAGCTCAAACGTCCTCCCGTTGGTGTGGTGTGGTAGTTAGGAGAGGGGGGTGCCAGCTCAGGTGTCGTCCGCGTC